AAAAATGTATATATATAAGAATGATTAATAATTAATTAGGTTAATTAGTTTAATTTATTATGGTTAATGAAATTAATTAATTTTAATTAAAAAAAATTAATCATGTTTATTGATTTTAATTTGAGATTATTAGATTTATTTAATGATTTTAATTAAAAGTTGGTAAATATAATTAATTAATTTTAATTAATATCAAATTAATCATTTAATTAAACTAATTATCATTTAATTAACTTAAATCTTTAATTTTCTTTAATCTTGGTAAAAGTGAAAATTACCTTTATTTATTTCAAATTTCACCCAAAACTTTTATAATTAAGCAATTTATTCCAAAGGTTTCAGATCTTTTCAAATTAGTCCTCTATGTTTTTGAATTTAATCAAGTCAGTCCTTCATGTTTTGAATTTAATCAAATTAGTCCCTTTAATGTTTATTTGTGCTTATTGTGCATACATGTTCTTGATTTTGTTCATTTCAGTCCAAAAATTAAAAAATGTTTTAATTTGGTTTATCTTTTTTTAAAAAAATAAAAATAAATCTTTTTATTAAGACTTAAACACAGATAATGAATAAGTTGAATCAAAACCTCAATGTTAAAGTATGCAACCGTGTTTAAACGGAGGATTATGAGGTGCGCGTATGCTCTTTCTCACTCCTAACTGAACCCTCGAGCCTCGATTTCTACGTAGACTCGTTTTAGGTGACTTGTCTAACTTTATAATTTGGACGAGTGGCGACTTCCTTTTTATAATTTTCACACTTAACTAACTTAATGTTTTTTAATTTTGAGTGTGGTTGTCAACAGATTGGTGACTCCACTAGGGACCGAACTTAGAATCTCCCAGAATCTCTGGTTTCCATATTCAGGGTTCACGAGGGTTGGGCTAATACTTTAACTTTGAGGAATTTTCAACTTTTGATTTTTCTTTGTTGAGTCTTTGTCGGTGTTTGTCGAGTCTTTGTTGGTCTTTGTCAAGTCTTTGTTGGTCTTTGTCGAGTCTTTGTCGGTCTTTGTCATTTATTGCATGTGCTTGTTGTGCGTCGTTTGTTACTTGTTTGTTTGTTTTGGTGGTTGCTTTTATTGTTTTTTTCCTCTGAATGATTATCATGTTACATTTTTTATGCACTAAAATCACCCTAACAAGTGTACTAGTCGCTCCAAGTAATATAATGATGAATAGAGTGTCGAACCCACGAGGATTGTGTCCAATTAAGTACCAAAATAATTAATCTAAATTTATTTGAACAATCAAATAGAGAGAAACTTTAATTGAAAATAATAAAAAGAAAATAACAAATAAATCTAATCAAGATAGGAGGTACTAAGGCATTGATTTCACCATAATCAATCAATATAAATTCTGGATTAATATACTTTTAAAACCAATTTATTCAGTGTTATTGCATGTGATGGCGGATTTCCCTAAATTAATTAATTAGCTTTCTCAAGTCAAGTTAATCCTTCACTAGTTTGTTAAATTAATCATATCTCTATGTAATTTTAAACCAACTAATGAGCATTAAATTCTATGGAAACCTCTAGCTTAAGAAGGGGGAGCTCCTAACTCTCTTCTCTTCCTCTACTACCACATGTGAGCTAATTACCTCTCGGTCTCATAATCTAGCACACGGTTTATATTATTATTGGTTTAATATATGCAATTCTTTCTCAAGTTCATGCATAAATCACTGAATCAATTGAATGGTGATCAGACTTCCAATGCATTAAATTCAATGATATAAACTCCTCACGCGAATAATTTTAATTAAAAGTATAAAATCACAAAATCTATATTGAATTGATTAGGTTACATCATAGCCTTAATAAAATAAATCAGTTCATAATAAAAATAATAAAATCTACAATCATAGTTATGAACAAGGAAGAATAAAACCTAATTTGAGAAAATTTCAATCCTTGATCTCCTATTGTTGAATCATCTATCTTGACCACCAAGAATGCCCAAAAGAGGGCTGCCACTAGCCTCTCCAAAACTCTCTTAATTCTGAATTTAGATGGGTATTTATAAGATTTTAGAAACCCTAGTTGGAATAAAAGTAGGACTTGGAAAAGAAATAGGACTTGGAACAGAAATAGGAAACTGAATTTTGGATGCAGATCGCGTGGTGCTGACACTTCGGATTACGTGTTGACACAAAATAGGAAACAGAATATGATTCTAAACGTTTAACGCATGGTGTCGACACCCCGATCATGTGTCAACACTACACCCGTGTCGGGTTTCTGGTCTTCTTTTGCAATTTTTTCAATGGTAAAATAACAGATTTGGTTCCTAACTTCTGGATTCTACACAAGTTGATCCTCAAGTCTCTGATCTCTTCAATTTACTTCTAAAAAGTAGAATTTCTTTCAATTAAATCCTTTCATACACAAAGGATGAAAACCATGTAAAATCAAACAAAATCCCATAAAACTCATCCAAATATCAATAATATCAAAGTAAAAATTCCCTATTAATATGTATATAAATTTAGCTCATCAATTTTAACATGCATCATACCTTCCTCACATGTTCATGCATCATATCATCTCACATGCTCATCCATCATTGATGTTACATGCTTATTCATCATGCATCACGCTTACATGCCTACTTGCTTGTGTGTGGATGTACTCACCTTTTACATTTGGCTATGGAGCACTTAGTAAGTCTCTTCCCTCTTACACGATTATTTACATCTTGTTGCATGCTAAGTGTTGGTTGCCAACTTTTTGCATTTAACATGGGAGTATTAGGTGAGTCCCTTCCTGTTATGTAAGTAGGTTTTTTTTTGGGTGCTATATTTGTTGAGTGCTTTACATGCTTTTATCTGCTTATTCTCTTTGCTTGCCATGGGATATATGTTGCTATTTTGTGGTTGCCATTATGCAGGTTATTGGAGTGTCATGCGCTTGCACACACTCACTCTCATTTTGCATTAGGTCCATGTTGGAGGTGAACCCAACCTCTAATCTGAAATCCTTACAAATTTGGCTTGGAAGAGCAATTCTTCCTGCTTTGAGGAGTAAGATCGGTTTCTGTTAGGTTGTTTCCATTGGTTAATATGACACTTGATGATGTAATATCATTTTGTGTATTAGCTTTTGGAAATATCTCCCATTGATTTTAAAAGGATAAATGGTTGAGAAGGCCTAATGCCCTATAGGAAAGCATGTATTGGCTTTAGAGAGATACCAACCCTATGACATGTTTCCCTTAACATCTCACCCGTGAGGCTAGGTGTCCCGTGTTTAAGGCACAAAAGGGGCATTTTACTTCGCTAACCTTCATTTGCGCATATGGCAGCTTATTTTTGCACACCTAATGAGGTATGGCATGTGAGGTATGATTTATGTTTAACTCTTTTAAGCCTTTTGTTTAGGTAAGATCATGCATTAGACATGGATTTTACTGAGGATACAACTAGACAAGGGAAGAGACTTGGGGGGGATGTCACATCTCATTCTACTGCTAAGAAGGCTAAGGAGTCAATCTTTTCAATCAATACCTCCAACCCCGACTTGAAGCTGTTGAGATAGGCTTATGGCTTGTTGTCCTCTAGAGAAAAGCATGACTTTGAGGTCCGATTTGGGTGCATCGGGGATCTATTATCAATGGTGCCGGATTGGAACTTGTTCCGAGCTATGTTGAAATTCTATGTCCCTTAATATCAAGCTTTTGTGTTCCCACACTCTGAGTTGGTACCCACCATTAATGAGTATCATCACTTCTTGCGGTGTAATCCTACAGTGGATTCTTCTACCTTCACTCCTCAAGTACAAAATATGAAGTTCACACTAGAAAAAGTTCAAGAAATGTTGCAAGCTATGTGGGGGTTTCCATTTGAATTCTCACAACCATTGGTGACAACTAGAGATGATTCTTATGGGTTCGATTGGAATGCAACGTTAATGGCTTGGGGAAAGAGATTGAAGGGCATGACATCTTCTCAAAGAATCAACTTTGTGGCATTGGGATTTTATGGCATGGTGATCTTCCCTATTTATGTCAAGACCATTGCACCTATGGTGGTAGCTTTGTTTGAGCAATTGTTGTACACTTTGGCATTTAATCCTACTTCTATAGTGGTAGCTGAAACTTTGTGGTCTATGAAAGAAATCTGGACTAAAAGATCTGGCCGCTTCTCGGGTTGCATTGAGTTATTCGCTGCATGGGCACATGGTCACTTGAGAGGTCCTCAATATGAAGTTTTATTCAGCGTTCCTGTGAAGGATAGAAAGACAGAGGATTGGCATTGATCACTTCTAGTAGCAACTGTTAATGATGTCGGATTTATTCTCCCGACTTGGAATGCTACTCATTATCTTGCTCCACCCGAAAGACATCACTCTATTCCTTTGTTGGGTATTCATGGAAGAGTTACATATTCAATGGAGTTGGCATCTCGTCAATTTGGAAAAACACAAAGCGTTCCCTATCTTGATAACGCATTGCAGTCACACTTTGATTCCATGTCTTCCCCAGCAATTGTATCCGAAGCACATGAGGTGTGGGAGAAATGTAGGATGCTACCTATATGGAAAGAGAATGGGACTAGACCACAATATGGGCAATGGAGATCGAGTTGGATAGCTAAGCTTTCTTTGCCATGGGAGGTGACAAATACGAAAAACTCTACCATCATGGACTTAACCACTAAGTTGGAACTTAGCCATGCTCAAAGATGTCAGTTGCTACAGAAGTATGATGAGTTAGCTCTTGATCATGAATTGCTTAAAAAACGAAAGGAGTTGTCCGATCAACAAGTGGCAGGGTTGAAAGACAAGATTGCCTCTTTAGAAAGGGATTTGGCTGCTAATAAGGAAATTTGTGGGAAGCAAAAGAGGAGCTTGGAGTTTGCTAAAGAACAACGGAAAAAGCTGCTACAAGTCAAGGCAGATTTTAAGGCAAAAGAAAAGGAGAACAAAGAGCTTGTGGAGAAAGTGATTAACCAACAAGAGTTAAAAGGAAAAGTGATTAAATGGAGGAATGCTTACAACAACTTATTGCCAGATTATGATGCTCTACAAAAGGAATTACAAACGGCAAGGCAGTCAAAGCAAGGGGAGAAGGAGAGCACAACTTGAAGAGCTTGGGGAAAGATGGGTTACTTAGGAGCTATTGTACAAACGTCAGAAATTTAGATTTGTCAATGAAAACTTGCTTGAATGAATACAATCTTTCTTTCTTGTCAAAAAGTATATCCCATGAAGTAAAATCCATGATTAGGATAGAAATTTTAATTCTCAAGCCTCATATCACATTTGCATTTTATTATGGTTTAAGTACCATTTTAGTCCCTCAACTTGTCACTTTGGTACCAAAATTGTCCCTCAGCTTTAAAAAGTACCAAAATTATCCTCAGACTTTCATTTTTGGTACCAAAATGGTCCTTCCGTCAGTTAAACGCCAGGTGGCTCGTTAAAATGCCACAAAATCACCGGCTTTTTTCATTTTTAATGACGTGTAAATCCAACTATGAAAATTTTTTTACCATGGCATTTTTTTTACACGTGGCATATTTTTTTACACATCATATTATTACCTTTTTAACTTTCCCTTTTAATAGGGCCCACATGACTTTTTTTAACTTTTCTTATTCTTTCTCTATCTCCTCTCTTCCCCTCTTCTTCTTCCTCTCCAAATCTGGGTTCTCCAGCTTCTGATCGTCTTCTCCGGCATCCCCTTTTTTTGTGCTCAAAAGCCTTAGGCTTCCGAGTTCTGCTGCTTGAGCTGCCGGGTTCTCCGGCTGCTCAAGCCCGATGGAGCAGGCCTGTTCCCTGCTCCGATGACCCCATGAGGTCTCTCGACGACTAGGCCCTTCGGGTGCCTTTTTTGGGTTTTTGTTTTCTGTTTGTTTTCTTTGTTTCCTGTTTCTATGTGTTGCCCGCTTGCTTGCAGGTCTCACGGCTCCTTGCTCCCTCACGCAAATCTACCGAGCTACACGCTGGAATTCCCAGATCTGGCGGTCGTCGCCCAGATCTGGTCTTCGCCTGTTCATCTTGGTTCTTCGCGAAACCTAGACGGGTTCTGCGAGGAACCCAACCCAGTGTTGGGTGGCGGAACCTAACCCGGTGCTAGGTTTCTTGAGGAACCCAGTTCCTTGAGGAACTTAGTTTTGGGTTCCTGGGTTTCGTGAGGAACCCAAATCTGGGTTTCGTGAAGAACCCAATTCTGGGTTCTTGGGTTCCTCGAAGAACGTAGGTTTTAGGTTTCGCTCTGTTTTTCTTGCTCTGTTTCTTTGGCTTCTTGCTTTGTTTAGTTGCTCTGTTTTTCTTGCTCTGTTTCTTTGGTTTCGAATCGAGCCTTAAAAAGGGAAATGACAGAGAAACAAAGACAAAGAACACTGCCACTGTTGAGGAACTCAACTAAAACTGGAAAAAGAAAATAATTTGTTTTTTTTTCATGTGGGCCCCACAAAAAGTGAATCTGAAAAGTGGAGAAGCAATCTGACGTGTAAAAATGCCACGGTGTCAAAAATGTCCTTGCTGGATTTACACGTCATTAAAAATGAAAAAAGCCGGTGATTTTGTGGCATTTTAACGAGCCACCTGGCGTTTAATTGACGGAAGGACCATTTTGGTACCAAAAATGAAAGTTCGAGGATAATTTTGGTACTTTTTAAAGCTGAGGGACAATTTTGGTACCAAAGTGATAAGTTGAAGGACTAAAATGGTACTTAAACCTTTTATTATACATGTCATTAGCTACGATCTTTGATTATTCTCTTATTAATATCTTTATTTTTGCCACTTTGTGTTTAGTTCTCAAGCCCTTTTGATTGAACCATCTGTGACCTCTAAAAAGAAATATGGATTCTCACACATCCAAGACACAACCTTCTGCACACAAGGCTTTGTTGGAGTTTTCTGCTCATACTCAAAGGCTCAATGAAGAAACCATCTCTTATCTGCACCAATTGACTAAGGACAATGAACACCTTTGCAAAGCCAATGAGCAATTGGGAGAGTAGCTACAAGACATGACCATCAACCGTGATCTTTACAAGATTGCCATGGAGGACATGTGCTATCAACTCCAAGTTGAGAAGCAAAAGAACCAAGCTCTTGTTGAAGAGGACACCAGCTTGCGTGAAGTTGTCATCGACATAGCCGCTTTGGTCACTCAATTCGAGGGAAAAATGGTCGAGACTCATCACCACATTGCCCAAAGGACCCATCCAATTGAGAGGAGATTTTTCCAACCAGTCTTCGACTTTATCATTGACATGTCTAATGTGCTTAAAAAGGATGTATTAGGATTTATGTTCTATAATGAGTTTGTTTTAGCTTTAAAAGTATGAAGGCTTGTAAGCACTTTGAATGCAACTTTGTACTGCTTGCTAACTTTGTTTAAAATACGGTTATTTAGTAATGAAAAACCATGTTTTAGCACAACTCATTGTAAAACAGGTGGATATCTTCGTGCAAGATGGAAATGTCGATGTGAGAATCCATATGGAACTTCGTAAAGGAAACTAATGGTCCAATCAAAAGGGGCTAAAATCTCTTTAGTTTTCTAATTTTTCCTATTACATTTCTGTTGGTAGGTAAAAATTCTTCTAATCATAGCTCTAAGGTGAAAGGTTTTCAAAAAGCGGCGTTCTCCATATTTGCTCAGATCCAGAGTAATCAAAATGTCTGAGGAAAATGCTACTACTAATCTAGAAACATCAACCGTTGATAAGAGGGTTGATAAGTTGGAAGCTACAATGTAAACTATGGCTACTACTTTTTAGACCATCAGTCTCACTTTGTCCACTTTGAGTATTGGTTCGATTCCTTCACCTGCATCCTTAATACCCACAATACTAGTTCCACCTGTCCCTACCATCACACCAAGTAATCATGCTAAGGATCCCATGGTCACACAATTGCAATTTCCACTTATTTATGAGAATCAGCCTCTAGTGGGAGAGTCATCTTCACATACTCCACAAATATCATCTTTGCCCTTTGAAGCTTCATACCCACCATTTGAGATGAACAACCCTACCTTGCCCACAACCACACCTCTTATCCTTAACATAACACCTTTGATGGGACGAGTGCCAGATATTCAACCCAACCCCTCGGTTGCGATGCTAAGGCTTATTGTAGAAGATAGGAAGTCAAGAAAGGTTGATCACAAGCTACAATAGTTAAAAGAGGCTTTGAAGGCTATGCAAGGGCCGCAAGCCTATGGTTCCATTGATTTGGATGATCTTTGCTACTATCCGGGAATTCAAACAAATTTCAAGTTTAAGCAACTAGATTTTGACAAGTATGATGGTTCAGGTTATCCTTACGCACACCTACAAATGTATGCCAGGAAGATGATGCCTTATGCCAATGATGAGAGGGTGCTCATTTTGGTTTTCAACACTTGACAAGAAGAAGATTCGCACTTTCAAAGATGTGTCTCAAGCTTTCATGATGCAATATGAGTATAATATGAGTCTGGCCCTTACGAGAGATAGCTTGTAGAAAATTACCAAGAAGAGTAATGAGACTTTCAAAGAATTTGCTCAAAGGTGGAGATCCGAAGCAGCCAAAGTCATTCCACCTTTTATCGACAATGAAATCTACTCTCTTTTTATCAAGTCAACTATCGGGACCTTCCATGCATGGCTAGGTCCTTATGTCGGATATACTTTTGCTCAGCTAGTGGTAGCAGGTGAACAGATTGAGGAAGGACTAAAGGCAAGTATTATTATGAACTTTCAAACTATCCAAAGGCAGTTAGAGCAAGTTAAGATGGGAAGCTCAAGATCTACTTGGAAGAGGTTCTCACCTAAAGGCAAGAAAGAAGATGAGGAAGCTTTAAATCACAGTTTCACTAGTCATGCCAAGCCAATCTATAATATGGCAAATGTTCCTTACAATCGACAACCTCAATTACAGCACACTTCGATCTTCAAGTCTACCATCTACCTTCAAAGGAGGCCAAACTTCAATGCTCATGCTCTAGTTAGACAGCAATTCCCCTCAACAAATAGGTCGAGACAGTTCACCAAGCCTCCAATCCCTTATAGTGAGGTGCTGAAATAGTTAGTGGCAGTGGGTTTGATGCAAACAATGCAAGTGAACCCTGTGCAACCACCTTATCCTTACGGGTATGATCCACAAGCTAAATGTGAATATCATAATGTAACAGGTCATGATACTGAATATTGTACAACTCTGAAACATAAAATTCAAGATCTCATCAATGAAGGATAACTCCAACTCGATGAAACTAAGAGTGCTCTAAACATCACTTAGAATCCTTTACCTCCACATGGTGCACCCACCATGACTATGATTGCCCTTGATGAAGTTGATAGACCCGTATTGGAGAATGACGATTCATGGTCTCTTGATGAATTATTTGCCATTTTGATAGAGTATGATCTTATTCAGCCAATTGCATCAATTAGCTCGAATGTTCTGCTAGTGATAATTGATGATGCTTTGGTGTGTCTTTATCACTCCAATATGAAGGGGCATACTTTGCAAAATGGTGGAGATTTCAAAGAAAAATTATAGAGCTATAGAGAATGAGATCTTTGAAGTTTATGTCTACTCCAGAGTCAGAGAAATTTATAGCACCAGTGACAGAAGAATACTTCACTAATGAGAGGCCTTACATTTTATAAGATACTAAAAGGACACCAACCATCAGTCAAAATTTCCAACAGCCTTATGTCTTGAAGACCTCCCTTAGTGAGTCACTCATGGGAAAGACATCATCTGTGGCCAATAGCCATTTCCCTTACTCACTTAAGGTTATGCCTCAACGCCCCGTCATCTTGAACTCTACAACTAATGATGTGTCCAATATGACTCGTAGTGGTCAATGCTATGTGAATCCTGAAGTGGAAGAATTGAGAAAGGCTGCTTTGAAATCAAAAGATATTAGAATTGAAGAGATGCTAGAAGAATCACCCAAGAAGCTAGTGTCAGAAAATGAAGTTGTAGAATTTCTGAATATTATGAGGAAGAGTGAGTGTAGCATCATTGAATAGCTCAACAAAACCCCTGCAAAAATTTCCATTTTAGAATTAATGCTATCATCTGAAGTTCATCTTGACGCATTGCTCAAAGTCTTGAAAGAAGCCCATGTGCCTACGAACATTGATACTCAAAAGTTTGGGATTGTGGTTGGGGCAATTTTAGCTCCAAATTATATTAATTTCACTAATGATGAGATTCGCGATGAAGGAAATCAGCATACCAAGGCTCTTCACATTTCTGTTTAGTGCAAGATGATGAATGTGCCTCATGTGTTGATCGACAATGGGTGGGCTTTGAATGTGATTCCTATGACTGTTTTGAAGTAGTTGAAAGTGGATGAGTCTCACATTAATCAGTGTAATACAGTGGTTTGTGCTTTTGACGGAACAAAGAGGAATGTGGTTAGAAAGATTGAGCTTCCAATGGAAATTGGCCCAGTGACTTTTGATGTGGATTTCTTTGTTATGGACATTTCTCTTGCTTTTAATATGCTCCTTGGGAGACCTTGGATACATGTCACCGGAGTAGTACCATCCACCTTGCATCAGAAAGTTAAATACATTGTCAATGGTGTTCTTGTCACGGTGAATGGCGAGGAGGAACACATCATCCAAAAGGCTACAACCATTCGTTACTTAGGAATTGATCCTGAAACTTATGAATCCTCTTATCACTCAATAGAGTGTCACTCAATAGAGTGTGTTGCTGCTTCTTATATACATCCAAAGTTCAAAGGGAAACGGGCCGAAATGGCTAAACCTGCCATGGTTGCTACTAAGATCATGCTTTCATGTCATTACTAGTTGGGAGAGGGTTTGGGATTGAATGGACAAAGAATTCTCGAGCCTATTGAGGTAATTCAAGCTTGGGGCACTTTTGGCTTGAGATATAAGCCAAAGAAGGAAGATTGGCAGAGAATGCATGCTATTAAAGCAAAGAAGTGCCTTACTAGACTTCAAGGGAAAGATCCAAGGGATGAACCAATGTGGGTGCCGCACATTAGAGCACATTTCCACAACCTATTGAGATTTTGTGCCCTTCTCTTGATGGATATGTGGCGAAGCATATGGATGTTTTATATGTAGATCTAGAGGGTACTATTTTCACTAATAGATTGCTTGAAATTGGGGAATGTTCAAAACAAGCAAAGTTTGAGGAAGTGGTTGTGGAAGATATCACTGATGAAGTTTGTTCTGATGATGAGGAAGACAGTTTTGGTTTCAACAACCTCTTTGGGCCAGCCAACATGACAGATCCTAAGGAAAGGTGGAGAAGGATGCTCATTGAAAGGGCATTTATGGAGAAGCACCCCAACTTCCATCTTGTTCATCATGCAAAAGCTCCAATGGGATCACATGAGTTGGTACTCCTTGAAACAGTGAAAGAAGAATCGCTATGTGACTCAGGGGGAAATTTGACTATAAATGCTTTAGATGAGGAAGAACTTGAATTTGATAAGGGAATTTCTCTGGTTAATGAAAGCTCTCAAGCTAATTGGATAGTGGAACTTCTCCCTGCAGCTTTCATCTCTGAGTAAGAAGAGTCAACCTCTAGTAGTTTTGCTTGTGACTACACGAAGGGAGGGATTCAGCAAGCACTTTTATATTTTTTGAAATTTATGTTATCACGCTTCTAATATTCCCATGCTTTCCTTTTCAATAAAACATGTTGCAATCCTATCCTATCATTATAAAAATCATTGTGATGCAACTTTACTTAAACTTTCATTGTACAAGCCACTCTTTAATGATATGTTTTATGAGGTTGTCTAGTAACATGTTCTTATCTTTGCTTTATTATTATTTGGCCATTTATTTACTTCCATCCATAATTTTCAGGCCTGCTAATGACGAATCTTTAAACAATGATACCATATCGGACTTTATATACGAGATTGATGATCAGACCTATAGTGAAGAAGACAATGAAAATTTTGATCCTTCTCATGAACTAACTCAAATGCTAAGAGAAGAAAAACCAAAGCTGCAGTCAAACCAAGAGACAAAAACCATTAATTTGGGTACTGAAGATGATAGAAAGGAGATAAAAATCAATGCCCATCTATCCATAGAGGAGAGAAAAGAATTGATAGAGATCTTAGATGAATTTCAAGATGTTTTTGTTTGGTCCTATAGAGACATGCCGGGACTTGATCTTGATATTGCTGTTCATGCCATTCCACTCTATTCTGAGGCCAAGCTAGTCAAGCAAAAGCTAAGGAGGATGAAGCCAGAGGTTCTATTGAAGGTCAAAGAAGAAGTGTAGAAGCTGCTAGATGTCAATTTCATTGAAGTAGCTATGTATTCGGGATGGGTGGCCAATATTGTTCCTGTAATGAAAAAGGATGGCCGAGTTAGAGTCTGTGTGGATTATAAAGACTTGAACAAAGCAAAGCCCAAGGATGATTTTCCATTGCCTCACATCCAAATTCTGTTGGATAATGCTGCCAAAAATGCTCGGTTTTCTTTTGTTGATGGCTATTCTAGGTACAATCAAATAAAAATGAAGGAGGAGGATAAGCTCAAGACAACATTCATCACTCAATGGGGTACCTTTTGCTACAAAGTTATGCCTTTTGGACTCAAAAATGCCCGGGCAACATACCAACGCTCTGTGATTACTTTATTACATGACTTTATGCATACCATTGTTGAGCTATATGTTGATGACATGGTGATTATGTCCAAAGAAGAGGTGCTACATACAGAAAATATCAAGAAGGTCTTTGAACACCTTAGAAAATACCAACTGAGACTTAATCCTGCGAAATGTACTTTTGATGTGGATTTTGGAAAGCTACTTGGCTTCATTGTGAGCCACCGAGGAAGAGAGATAGAGGTTGATCCAGCCAAAATAAAAGCCATTGATGAAATGCCACCACCAAAAACCCTAAAAGAAGTCCGAAGATTCTTGGGAAGAATTAATTACATTGCTTGTTTCATTGCCAACCTCACGACCATTTGTGAGCCTATCTTCAAACTCCTCAGAAAAGACAACCCTCATACCTGGAATAACCAATGCCAACAAGCCTCTGACAAAATCAAAGAATACCTCAAAAACCCACCAATCCTTGTGCCTCCAATTGATAAAAGGCCTTTCATCCTATTTATCATTGTCCTTGTCCAACATGATGACTCAGGTAAGAAAGAAAGAGCCATCTATTATGTGAGCAAGAAGTTCAATGATTGTGAAAGTAAATACTCACCCTTAGAAAAAACTTGTTGTGCCTTAGCCTGGACATCCAAGAAACTTCGCCACTACATGTTAACCAACACCACATACCTACTTTCAAGAATGGATCCCATAAAATTCATTTTTGAAAAACCTACCCTTTTTGGAAGGATCTCTCAATGGTATATGTTGCTTTCTGAATTTGATATTGTTTACACCACACAAAAGGCTATCAAAGGGCAGGCAATTGCCAATCATTTAGCCGAACATGCAACAGAGGATTATGAGCCTATTGATTGGGATTTTCCTAATGAGGACATTTTGGCAGTGGAGGCAAAATCTGATTCAAATAATTGGAAGCTCTTCTTTGATGGAGCTATTAACCAGCTTGATTGTGGCCTTGGGGCCGTGTTCGTATCCTTAAAGGGTGATCATTTTCCTATTGCTACAAAGCTTGATTTTGCTTGTACCAACAACAAAGCCGAATATGAAGCTTGTATTGCAGGAATACATGTTGCTCTAGACATGAATGTCCGAGATTTGGGGATATATGGTGATTCAACACTAATCATATTTCAAAAATGATGATTGGCAAACCGAGGATCCAAAACTTATTCCTTATCACCAATACCTTGAAACTCTCATCAATCAATTCAAATTCATCTCTTTAAACCATATGCCCCGTGCCAAGAACCAATTCACAGATGCTTTGGCAACTTTGGCCTCGATGATCCAAATCTCCAGTGATGATGTAATCAAGCCTTTAATGATTGAAATTAGTCAAGAACCAACACATTGCATGGAAATCAAGGTTGATGACAAACCATGGTTTCATGATATTAAACAATTCTTGCAAAATGGGGAATACCCTCTATATGCTTTTGGGGTGAATAAGAAGACAATCAACAAATTGGTAGCTTCATACTTCTTGAGCAAAAATACATTGTATAAGCACTCTGCTAATATGACCTTGTTGAGATGTGTTGATGAAACAGAAGCAAAACAAGTCATGACTGAGGTCCATGAAGGGATATGTGCAACACATGCAAATGGAAGAATGCTTGCTAGAAAAATTCTCCAGGCTAGGTATTATTGGTTGACTATGGAACATGACTGTATCAAGTATGCACGAGCTTGTCACAAATGTCAGATTTATGCTAATCATATTAATGCTCCACCTTCATTACAACATAATATGTCTGCTCCTTAGCCATTCTCCATGTGGGGCATCGATGTGATTGGGACAATTAATCCTAAAGCTTCCAATAGTCATCAATTGATCTTGGTTGCTATTGATTATTTTACCAAATGGGTAGAAGCAACATCTTATGCTAGTGTTACAAAGAAGGTGGTCACTCGCTTCATCAAGAGAGAGATCATCTACAGATATGGGCAACCAAAGGCCATTATTATTAATAATGCAAGCAATTTGAGCAATGACATGATGACTGCACTATGCAAGCAATTCAAGATCAAGCATTTGAACTCTTTTCCATACCGACCAAAGATGAATGGTGTGGTGGAAGTTGCCAACAAGAATATCAAGAAGATTCTAGCCAAAATGATAGTTACTTATAAAGATTGGCATGAAATGTTGCCATATGCTCTCCATGCTTACTCTGTTCGCACTTCAACTAGGGCAACCCCTTATTCCTTGGTATATGGAATGGAGGCAATACTACCACTTGAGCTAGAAATTCCTTCCATGAGAATCTTATCCGAGTCGGGGATTTAGGAAGAAGACTTGATTCAGAAAAGGATAGATTACCTCAACTTGCTTGATGAGAAAAGATTGGCACTCTTTGTCATGGTCAATGCTATCAGCGACGAATGGCAGCAGCTTACAACAAGAAAGTCAAACCTAGAGTATTTCATCAAGGAGATCTCATCTTAAGAAAGATCATGCCAAATGAAAGGGACCTTAGGGGCAAATTTGCACCGAATTATGAAGGGCCCTATGTTGTTAAAGAAGCTTTCTCTGAAGGAGCACTCTTGTTGAGATATCTAGACGGAATTGATTATCATCACCCAGTGAATGCCAATGCCGTCAAAATGTATTATTGCTAAAAAAAAAAATTTAGGTTGAAAACCTGAAAGGGCGGCCTAATAAATTAAATGTTTCCTTGACTTGAAAAGTTGAAAATCCAGTGATGAAAGGCCATGTTTCTCTATCCTAAATAGTTGAACATTGCCCTCTTGCTTACCCTTTTGAGCTAGAAACAGGTAATCATTCAAATTTACAAAAGCCAGAATGACTTTCTTTCTATTAACCCACATTAATGACCAAGGAAGTGAAGAGAGAAATGTGAGGGGAATATATGGATTTTGAGCCTTTATCCTTTCTTTCATAATAACCTAACCCCAAGCCACGTTACAAGCCCATATGAAAGTCCTTATTTGAGGGTTTAAGCTTTCTCTGGCAAGGGACATAAAAAATAAAAAAAAATAAATAAAAAAAGAAACAGCAAGGCTTTAGGCAGTGGCAGTTGGAAACTTCTTTATTCTAAGTATGAGAGTTAGTTCATGAAAAGGGAAAGATTTGAATTGTCAATATTCAGAAAAGGAATGAAACTCCCTCATGGACTAAAGAACTTATGGGCAGAATTGCAAAGAAAAGATGATCTGAAGCAATGATTTATAGTCTAAATATCTTGTAACCAATTGCATCAAAATCTTGTATTATTGGCCAAACTTCTTTTCGTCACTATTCAAAGTTGACCTTTTGATCATCTTGACCATTGCTTGAATCCAATGAAATAAATCTTTGCTACTGTTTTGTTCACATTCAGTATTGGGAATGCTAGTAGTTAGACATGAGGCTCTATTTCAGTTAGTATAATTGCTTATCTAATCAAAATCTCTTGATGAATTTGAAAGGTTGGATGAGAATTACAGGGAGAAAAGAAGCTAAATTCGATAGCCAAGGAGTCACCCATGCTAGTTAAAGCTCCAATAGCAAATGAAAGTTCAACCCATTGGGGCAATATTTTCAAATATCTCCTCATGGGAAACAAATGAGATCCTACCTCTGGCATTCAATAGAGTATTCATGAATATGAATCTACCGAGTTGCTACATAGAGATGATCACAGGTTGATGAATGCGCAACATAAAGCACATTTGACTCTCGCCAGATATGGACTTCCAACATGTTCAGGGAAGTTTCTTAACCTCTTTTCATTTTCACCTTATCTTATATGTGAAAATTGTCTCATTTACATCTGTTTCATTGTCACCACATTTTTCAAACTTTACTTTTGTCCACTCTTTAAACCATTCAATATCAACTCATTTGGTCATTTGACCATTACGGTTAAAAAACCATTTCTTTCTCGGTTAAAAAACCGTTTCTCACTTGGTTAAAAAAACCCATTTCCTGCTCGATTAAAAAACCGTTTCTTACTTGGGTAAAAAAACTGTTTCTTGCTTGGTCAAAAAAACCATTCCTCACTCAATTAAAAAACCATTTCTTTCTCAGTTAAAAAACCGTTTCTCACTTGGTTAAAAAAAACTATTTCCTGTTGGGTTAAAAAACCGTTTCTTGCTCGTTATAACCGTTTCTTTCTCGGTTAAAAAACAGTTTCTTACTTGGTTAAAAAACCATTTCTTGCTCGATTAAAGAACTGTTTTTGCTCAACTGGCTTAGTCGTTTAACCATAGCCACTCAAAACTAGCTCGATCGTTTGACCATAGCAACTCAACTCACTCGGTTAAAAAACAGTTTCTTACTCAGTTAAAAAACCCGTTCCCTACTTGGTTAAAAAACCATTTCTCACTTGGTTAAAAAATCATTTCTTGCTCGATTAAAAAACCATTTCTTTCTCGGTTAAAAAACCATTTCTTTCTTGGTTAAAAAACCATTTCTTGCTCAGTTAAAAAACCATTTATGCTCAATTGGCTCAGTTGTTTGATCATAGCCATTCAAAACTAGCTCGATCATTTGACCATAGCAACTCAACTCACTAGGTTAAAAACCCGTTTCTTTCTCGATTAAAAAACCATTTCTTGCTCGGTTAAAAAACCGTTTCTACTCAATTGGCTTAGCTGTTTGATCGTAGCCACTCAAAACTAGCTCAGTCGTTTAACCATATCAACTCAACTCACTCGGTTAAAAAACCGTTTCTTGCTTGGTTAAAAAACCATTTCTTGCTCATTTAAAAAAATCATTTCTTGCTTGGTTAAAAAATCGTTTCTTGTTCGATTAAAAACCCATTTTCTACTTGGTTAAAAAAACCATTTCTCACTCGATTAAAAAACCGTTTCTTGCTTGGTTAAAAAACCGTTTCTTGCTCGGTAAAAAAAAAAAAAATTTCTTACTTGGTTAAAAAACCATTTCTTGCTTGGTTAAAGAACCGTTTCTCACACGGTTAAAAAACCATTTCTCACTCAGTTAAAAAACCACTCCTTACTTGGTTAAAAAACCATTTCTTGCTTGGTTAAAACAAAAAAAAAAAAAAACAATCGTTAAAAAAAATTTTTTGAGTTATTTTTGTCTATTCTTTTCATTCTTAACAGAAAGAAAAGAAAAGAGGGACAGTTGTCATAACTCAAAATTTTTAAATTGAAATTTTTATTTTTATTTTAGTTTGTATGTTAATTAGGGCCTGTTTGGTGTGGCTTCTAGGAGCTTCAGCTTCTGGACACTATTCATGTTTCATGAATTTAAATTTTCCTCTTAAAAACTTACACTTTTAAATATTTTTTTAACCTCAAAAAGCTCTTAAACAGTAAAAGTTCAAAAGTTTCAAATCTAAACTTTTCATAAACTCCCTTTTTACTTACTTTTCATTCATTTTTTTACCTTTCTAAAAATTAAAACTCTATTTTCCCTCTAATAAAAATTTAAATTTATCACTCATAATAGTACTCAAAAAGCAAAAGCTCTCGCAAGCCACACCAAACATGCTCTTAATATGTTTGGTTTTTACTTTCATTGTTAGGTTTGCAAGCAAAGGAAAATTTCGCGAAAAAGTGGGAGAAGAAGAAAGAAAGGGCTCAATTGAAGAAATCAAAAGTTGGGGGATGAAATCCTTTAAACTATAAATCTAGCCCATTAAAACCAAGCCCACCAACTACCCAAACCCAATTACCCGAAAACCCAAAAAACCCAAAACCCATTTAACACAAACAAAGAAAGAAAGAAGGGGAAATAAACAAAAAAAATAAAAGGGGATCTCGAACCTTCTTCTTCATCGTCGACCTTCAGCCTCCACCCCCCCTTCTACACGAACTAGCCTCCACCCCCCTGTGCACGAACCAGCTTCCTCTCCCCTCTGCACAGCGCCAGCCTTGCTCCGCACCCGAGCCTTGCTCTGCACCAGATCCCCTCACCTCTGCGCCCAGATCTCCTCCCCTCTGCTACCCTACTTCCGGCAATCATGCCCCTGCACACCCGATCCATCATCAGCAATCATACACCCCTATACCCCTAGCTTGCTGCTGCCCGATCCTGCACCCCTCAGTGCCCCCTGCTGCTGCACCGAGCCTGCGCTCCAATCCCGCGCCTCTGCCCTCTTGCTCGCTACAGCCATGTCCTTGCCTCACCTACAGAAAAAACAGGCAATACCAGACAAAATTGGAGCAAGGCTTTTTCATCTTTTTTTTTTTTTTTTTTGGGTATATATATAGAGCAAAAAGAAGAGTACAGGGAGGTCTGGGGGGGTTGATTTTCGAGTTTGTTTTGTTTTTTTTTGGATTCTGGTTCTTCTCTGGGTTTCATTTTCTTCTTGTCACTGTGAAAAAAAAAGAGAGACAGAAGAAAGAAGAGTCCGAGAGGGAGAAAGGCTGGTTGAAGGGAAGAAAGCATTTTCTTAGGAAGTTGACGGCGGCTGAAAAGGAAACTTATCTTGTGGTGTCCATTTCTGTTTAGGTAAATTTCTAAACACGGGTTTTTGTGGGAACGATGGTGAAGGAGACGATGGGAGCCTGGTCCCGTGGGTGGGATCCCTCCCATCAGATCTGGATCCATCTTTCCCAAAAAAACTCTGCCGTGGGTGTTTTCCTTATTTTTGGTTGATGTTTTCTGCATTTTTGTTTCTCTCTTTCTTTATTTGATGTTAAGTTTGTATGTGTTTACTAGAAAATGAATGAAAAAAAAAATATATAAAAAAATGTTCAGATTATTCTGTTTCGTGAAAGCGTTTTTTTCTCTTTTCTGCGGAATGTATTTATTCTTGTGATGAAATCTTTTTTTTTTTAGAACGAACATGAACTCTAATTGCAAGTTTCTTTGTTTTACATTTGATCTGTTTTTGCCCATTTGGGTTAGTGGATTTATGTTTCTGGATTGGGTCAACCCGACCCAGTCTAGTAAATAAAAAGAAGGCAACAAAAAAAAAAAAAAGGAGAAAGCTAAAACGAAACAAAAAATGTATATATATATATATATGCAAGAATGATTAATAATTAATTAGGGTAATCAGTTTAATTTATTATGGTTAATGAAATTAATTAATTTTAATTAAAATAAATTAATTATGTTTACTGATTTTAATTTAAGATTATTAGATTTATTTAATGATGTTAATTTAAAAGTTGGTAAGTATGATTAATTAATTTTAATAATGTCAAATTAATCATTTAACTAAATTAATTATCATGGTTAATTAACTTAAATCCTTAATTTTCTTTAATCTTGGTAAAAGTCAAAATCACCTTTATTTATATCAAATTTCACCCAAAACTTTTATAATTAAGCAATTTAATCCAAAGGTTTCAGATCTTTTGAAATTAGTCCTCTATATTTCTGAATTTAATCAAGTCAATCCTTCATGTTTTGAATTTAATCAAATTAGTCCCTTTAATGTTTATTTGTGCTTATTGTGCATACATGTTCTTGATTTTGTTCATTTCAGTCCAAAAATTAAAAAATGTTTGAATTTGGTTTATCTTTTTTTTTTTAAATAAAAATAAATCTTTTGATTAAGACTTAAACACAGATAATGAATAAGTTGAATCAAAACTCCAATATTAAAGTATGCAATCGTATTTAAATGAAAGATTATGAGGTGCGCATATGCCCTTCCTCACTTCTAACTGAACTTTCAAACATCGATCTCTACGCAGACTTGTTTTATAAGTGACTTGTCTCATTTTATAATTTGGACGAATGACGACTCCCTTTTATATTTTTCACACTTAACTTAACTAACTTAATGTTTTTTAATTTTGAGTGTGGTCATCAACAATTGACACCTCGAATTACATGTTGACACCACACCCATGTTAGGATTCTAGCCTTTATGCAATTTCTTCAATGGTAAAATGCAGATCTAGTCCTCCAAATTTTATACAGTGAGCACTTTGATTCCGTGACTTAAGATTCATTCATTAGGTCCCAAAAAGGCACCTTTCTTCTTTCAATTTAGTCCCTTAACTTTTAAAAGATATTTAATTAATCTCAAAACTCTTATTATTATGCATTCAAGTCTTTTTCTACATAAAGAATAAAAACAATGTAAAATCTATTGAAAATCACATATTATTCTTGCGAGTAGTAATAAAATCAAGGCTAATATGATAAATTAAAACATATAAAAATGCTTACTATCACCCACAAAATATTTTCTATTGTTGAAATAAAGACGTGCATAAATTGCACTAAGCAGCAAATTAACAATGAAGTTAAGTGGATGTATCATAGAATGTACCGCTTGTGCAACTGTAAAGAAAATAGAGACATGCACCATATCACTATGTCACAAAATCCATATACCACCACAATATCCAACAGACTCCACATGACATTTGCCATCAAAACTAGCCCTAATCTAACTCATAATCAGTTTAACTCGCTGTCAATTTACATAAGTTTGAGAGAATGAGTATGTTAGGGTTGAATCTGTCAACAAGATCTTGAACAGTATGTAGGAAAGCTAGTTTTCTTGCTCCGGAATAATATCGACATAGGGTTAAGTTTGGGGAAGTCAATTGACACAGAAGATCTAAGTTGTGAACTAAAAGGCATGCAAGTTGAGGAGCCTAGTTGGCCATCCTCCATACCCTAGTTGTTGCCTCCTAAGCAGGTTTTAGATCCATCCCACCTTCTCTACTCTAAGTAGATTTGAGGACCCAACATAGACATGTTTGTGACTTATAAGGTGGATTGCTCTTATTAACGCCATGAGTTTGTTGTCTAGGTTTTCTTGAATCTTGATTTGGGTGGTTTACCATCAGGTGGGTTTTGTATGTTGCATTTGTCGCCTCTTGTGTCATTAGATTGGCCTTCTCTAAAGCATTCTTTGAAAGCTATAAATTTAAGTATAGACTTAAGATTTGGAGCAGAGCATAATCCATGGGCATCCATTCCATTATGACTCGGTGTTATCAAAGATGGGCAACAAGAACCATTGCAAGTGTTGGAAGTCCTATGATTTGGAGGTCTAAGGATTTAACTAAAATCTGTTGGCTACACATATGAGACGTTTCTAGACGTTACAGGCTTACGATTAAAATCCAAAAGAGGTGGAAGAGCTCTTTAGGATGGAGAACTTCTCTACAAGATAACTGACTAAAAGATAATTTCTTATTTCTTATAGGAGAGCACTCATATTGTTCTAAGTCCTCGCTAATATTCTCTCATCTCCCTCAAATTGTTGCACAATTGGATGTAGTCTTCTTTAGGAAAAGAGTAAATTGGGAATTAAATGGATGGGTAAAGGGTTTGATTTGCCATGCTATGGGGAGGAAAGCCTTAAGTGAATAGATATGGGTGGTTGCGTGGAGCAAGGATGGATAAAAGAAGAATTCGTGATATGGTGGGATAAAGAAGGAAAGTGATCTTTTTTGACAGGGAACCAAAAGGGAATTAAGATCAGAGGAAATCTAGAGAGAAGGGTCTAGGGTTGAGAGCAAAACATGGTTTGTGAAATAGTCTTGGTGACCGAGATAGAAACAACATAGGTCATTAGGATATAAAGGCAAAAAGTGGCATAGAGGAGAAAGGTTCAGTAAGCTAGAAATGGTTAGTAGGTAAGGGGGTAAGGATAAAACTTGAGGCTCTGACTTTCTTAAGATAGTGGGGGGTTTTCATTGGTTTAGCTGAATAGGTTTAGCCATTGGGTGGTACTAGGCTGAAAATTTGGGTTGGACCTTTCAAAGATTTGAATTATGAATCTGAATTGAGGAATGCCTCACTTTGTCCTTACCTCTTGTTGAGAAATCAGAGTTAGGTGTTGAAGGAATGTTTTTTGAGCAACAGTGTTTGCCTCAACAAGCTTTCTTGGCAACAATAAGCCAATCTCCATGTGAATAGGTGGGATCTTAAACTAAATGGTTGGAGGAAAAAGGCTGAGAGTCTTGGCAATATAGATTTGGGCAATGATGCTTTTTATGTCTTAGGCACCCATAATAGAAACAAAGAGAATGACTCCCTTTATAAGTAATTTTTGAGTAAACTCGTCGATAATTAGTGAAGAAAGCGAGGGTTGATGGAGATCAAACTCAACACAAAAGTAGGCAAATCACCGTCAAGATTCTATAAGAGTAGTGGCATCGATTTAGAGTAACGATATGAGAGTCATTGATGCATTGAAGTATCTCTTGAGAGAAAAGCTCAATTGAGAGTTAGGGCAATCATAACTAGATAGTAGTAATAATAGATGTTGCCAACTCAGGCTTGAAGTTGGGAATCCAATGTCAAAGAAAAAGAAAATGACCTCCAATAAACCATGGTCTTCTTTTAAAGATAGTTGAATAGTCATCTTCAGAGGAAAGCTTGATAGGATAAAACCCTTGTCAAGATCAATGGTCTTGAAAGTTTTTTCAAAGTTCCACACTTGCTTAATCTTTTGGACAACATAATTAAACTCCATTGATGGCCTAAAAGGTTTAATTATTGCACGCAGGCACCGCAACTAGTACAGGCATTCCTTTTCTTCTTGGGTGAGGAAGATGGTGAGGGCATTCTCTATTAGTGCACTGATGGTGGGAGAAGGAGAAGAGATTGGGTTATTAGCATGAGTTGGGGTAGTGGAAAAAACCAAAGAAGTAGGTAAAGTCTTTAACAATGAAAGGAAGAGGAAGGATTAAGTTATTGGTATGAGATGAAGCAATGGAAGCTACTAGGGAATTAGATGAGGGTGAAGGAATATAACTTTGGGAAACAATGGTATGGGAAGGTCCAATGAGTTTATCTTTGTAAGAAATAGTGGATAGGTTGCTGTGAAGTGATAGAGTAATGGCAACTGTAATCATGGTGGTTGCGGTTGATGAGGTGAGTGGGAGGGAAGGAGGGAGGGAAAGATGCCATTGACTAATGATATTGATTTTCAAAAGTTACATTTTTGGTGTTATACCAAACATAGAGAGCTCTTATAAGATATTTGGTTGTTTACTTGACACTTGTTTTCCTTTTCATTAGTATTGACAAGATAGTTGATTATCTTCTACCATATGACCTACCTTTGTTAAATACCTTCTAATTTTTTTCTCTTTTTAATCTTAAAATGGTTTAACAACTATTACTTGGATGACACTTTGTTTTTAAATTTTTTTCTACTGTTAATGAATCTTTTTGTAAATTTCTAGCATGTTTATGATTTCTTGCATATTTTGTGCTTTTTTGATCTTTGTGTATATCACTTCCAATATTATTTTTGAAATTCTATGGATTATTTATTTCTTATGTGGTGTTGCAACTAAACCTCAATACCTAATTAGAAATGAACTGATGGGGGTTTTTAAGTGGAGCTTGCAGAACGTGCTCCTCATGTACATAATCTACCTCCTTAGTATTAGAAGATTCAAAAATATTTATGTCCTTTTAAAAATGTTTGTGGAATAAATCTTAAATCCAACATGTGCAAAAAGAATATGACCTTTTATTGTGCAAGGATAATGGTACAAACATTTCCATAATTAATGGATGGTTATATTAAAAAAGATAGAACTAATACATATCTTAACTAAAAATTTCTACTACATATGAATTCTTGAAGAGAAATGAAATAATTATTAAATCTATTTAAATGAGAATCCAAGATTCTCCTCACAATATTGTTGAATTTATGAGGAGTATTGTAGGCATTGCATTTTTTTTTTTCCTTTGCCATGGTTTTTTTCTTTTCATTGGATTTTTTCTAGTAAAGTTTTTAACGAGACAATTTAATAAATATAATAAAAAGTGAATATCCAAGAAGAGTATTATGAACTAATTGATTTGTGAATGTTTCACCTTCTCCATCTTCCACCTTCCCACTTTTCATGTGATTTACACACCATGTAATAGTATAACTCTCATTACCTCCATGCAATTACAATGCCAATAAAGTTCTACCATGTAGCTCCTCCCTTAGTGATTTAGTTGGTGATTAAATCCATATAACACATGACTGAGAGTGGATGATTTATTCTTGTTACTCCTACCCTTCTTCTAGCCTATGTATAGAACTTATAACTTGTATGGAATGAAAATGTAAGAAATAAGAATAACAATCTTCATGGTCTCTTTGCCTCCTTTTTTTCTTTCTATTTCATACTTTCTCTACTTGTTTTTTCTATTTTAGAACATAATTAATATTATTATATTTAGTAATTATTAAATAACAATATACCATAAAACCAATGTCTTAAAAGCCAATCAAATTGACACTCTAACATAAACAACTCGAATGCGTAGAACTGTAAGAGTGATTTGACTGCTCAAAATTGGCAAATCTTTTCAGATCGGTATGAACCGATAAATTGTTCAACTGGCCGGTTTAACCCTTTGGATAAAAATGGAAGAAAGTCTGCTGGACCAGAGGTTGGACATCAAACTTGATACTTTAAAGGTTAAAATACCAACACAGTCCCTAAAGTTTCAAGTTCGTACTAAAATAATCCTTAAACTTTTGAAAATAGCAAAATAGTTCTTGAGCTTTATTTATTTATTTATTTATTTTATCTTAGTTCTTAAACTTTAAATTTAGTATCTTCCGTTAAATAAGGTTAACTAACATTGAAAGAGGTTGAGGTGGCATCATCTTTGAATACTCTCTAATTTTTGCTGTCGTGAACAATCTCTCTTGTCCGTAGTAGACTTCTCAAAAGAGACTTTCTTCTTTTCTTTTCTTTTCTTTTTTTAATTTTATTTTGGGTTTCTAAGAGGTGACTTGTAGCACAAATTAGTGTAATTAATAAATATTAATTTTAATATCAATGCTACTTATATGATTCTAATTGAATAGTGAATAAATTGAATGTCAATTTTTATTTTTTTAACACAAACTAATTGTCCACAGAGTAGTGACACAACAAACAAAAATTTAAGTTAATGATGTAGTATAAATTATGTCATTAAATAAGTTAATATATATGATATTATAGTTATAGATCTTAAATAAAAAAAAATAGTCAATCAATAACTAATATAAGATCTATCTTTAAATATTTTAAATGATCTCACTTATATCAAGTCTCAAAATTGGTTTTGTTTATCATAGTTCTTGTAAAAATATATATATATTAATTGCGTGCTTAAGTACACAAGTTAAAAAAAATTCTTTATTTTACTTGTTGATTATAATGAATTAAATTATGTGAGAACCACTCGTTTTAATTTATTTAATTAGTTACACTTAATGAATACAATATACTACCTTTTATACAAATAATTATGATATATAATAACATTATCTAATATTAATTAACTCAATTTAAAAAAAAAAATTGCGTGCACATATTATTACCCCATTTTTGTTGGATGAGACTGGTTTCCCATCAAACTCTTAAATCTTTTCAATTAACAGACAGGATAGGACTTGCACTCCCCATTTGCTCCAAGTAGCCACACTTCTCCATGTGAGAAGTAAAGTGAAGAGTAACACATAATCATCAAGTCGACTCCTCAATTAGTATTCAAATATATATTAACTTACAAATCATGTTTCTTACAGTAAAAAAAAAAAAAAAAACAGACAGGATAGGACTTGTAATACGGCCCAAGCATGCATACCAACATCATTGCGTGCTTCCAAGAAAGGGGATAAATAAGGGTTAAATATATCCCATTTCTTTATTAAGGATGCGTTTGAGATTATGATTAAGAGCTTTCTCGTGTAACCATACAACATTTTTAGATATATGTGTATTTGATAATTTTTTTTCAAATTGCTATAGAAAATCATAGTAAATTTATAATAATTTTATGTATAAAACTAAAAGTCTTATTTTGAAACTTTTTGACTGTACCTTTTACGAAGAACACTTAATATTACTATAATTGCAAAATTATCCATTAAAACTCAATTTCATATAATTTAATTGCATTATAATTTATAATTCTTTAATAATTAAAAAAATAAAAAAACCTAAATTATTAAAAAATAATACATATTATATATTTTAATAATTATAAAACTTATAATATTTTTAAAATTTTAATTAATAATTAATAAAAT